GGGTAAGGAAGAAAACCAGGTTCGTTGATCTTAAGATTTGACTACATTGGACTTGGGATCTTTGAAATCTTGGGGGAAAATAATGTATTCAACACTACAGAAAGTCTTGGTTATACAACAGGTAGAAGCTACAACTCACTTTTGAAGGTATGATATTCTTTTTAAAAAGTACTTTAAAGATCATTTGTTCATGGAAAGGAATAGTAAAAACCCAATTCTGGGACAGGGAATTTCGTCATAATTATGGATATAGTTGCCTGCCTTCAGAATGAAGTTGCATCTCTGCAGATTGTTTTATTTTAGAAAAACAAAATGTTTTTTGTTCTTTGACTAACTAAAGTGTTGGAGGCCTAAACAATAATGAAAAACACACACCTAGTCTCTGTCCTCAGAGAGTTTAAATGTCTAGTAAGAGACTTGGACATTAAGCCAAGAATTGCACAATTAAGTATTTAACTGTTCCTGTGGTAAATACCGAGAAAGCCCAGTTTATTAGTTTTTGTCTTTGCTCTTGTTTTTTTTTTTCCACCAAATTTGTAGTAGCGAAATACTATTCCCAAGTTTTATCCTGAACCAGGTTGCCTGTTATCAGCTCATCTCTTCCAACTTCTAAAGTATTCTTGAACTGTAAGGGAGAAACGTGGCAACTACATTTCCTAGGATCTTAAGGCAACAGTTCCAGGAGAGATTATGCTAATGAGGAGCTCTAACTGAGATGCCTGAGGCATAGATGAGAGGGTTAAGGCATTTTTCTAGTAATCTCCTGTTGGGTTTGACAGGTACCTGAAATCATTGGTAGCAACTTCCCTACAATTCTTGCATTTCTGGTTTCATGAAAATAACAGAATTTTTTTCCTTTCTTCACCCACACAGACCTTCCAATCATTAGTCAAGATTCCAAATTCCTATATTAAACACCTTTTTTTACTTGAAATATATGCTGTGGGATATTTTTCTGATATAATTTTGCCTGCCTGATACATACTCCTAGCTCTAAATGACTTCATACTCATCATCTGAAGTACCTTGGGAAATAGGATTTTTTCTGGATTTGATGGTGGAAAAAATAGAGAACTATAATTTAATGAACATCTATGTGCCAGGATACTTATATACACTATTCACGTAACCACACAGATGTATCAACAACACAGCAAACTTCCTACATGAAATAATTATTATTAAACCCCTTTTGTGGAAGAGAAGACTGAGATTCAGAAAGGAAGATAAACTAGGCTTACCAATAGAGAACTCAAGAATTCCAGGGACTTCCCCGGTGGTCCAGTGGTAAAGAATGTGCCTTCCAATGCAAGGGACGCAGGTTAGATCCCTTGTCAGGGAACTAAGATCCCACATGCCATGGGGCAACTAAGCCTGCTCGCCACAACTACCGAGCCCGAGCGCCTCAACTACAGAACCCACACACTCTGGAGCCCACGCACCACAACTAGAGAGAGAAAACCTGCACGCCGCAACTAGAGAGAAGGCTGAGTGCTGCAACAAAGATCCTGCATGCTGTAACTAAGACCAAACACAGCCAAAAAAAAAAAATTAAACTTCCATCCATTTGACCACAAAGCTCTTTCTCTTTTCCATAAGAGGTTCCTTTCTCTCCTACTTCTAATTTTCATATCAAAATCTGTCAATTTTGTTATAGGCAGTGACTTCTTGACTTCTATTTCGGTAATCCCCAGGATTACCTTCTTGTTTATTTTTGTTCAAGTGTTTGTTGATAGTCCTAATTATACTGGATATACTTCTTTCCTTCAGTTCACCACTGCCTCTTGCCCCCAGCTCAGGATTTTCCTGTATAGAGCTCTAAGCTCTGTTACACCTTTGCTATGTGCTACTCAACTCATCTTTACTATGTGCTACTCATCTCTCCAGATACAAGTGGCTCATGCCTGTCAAATATACATGCCCATGTTAAAAACCTTTTCATTGAACCTATACACAAAGTCCTCATGTGTCTTCCTACTTGAAATAATAGCATCCTGAGAATAAAATCTTTACATGTTCTCACAACTGTCTCAGCCTTCCTAAGTAACTCATTAACACTCTGCAACAAGCAGAAAGTAGGAAAAATAATTTTCTCTCAAAATCATTTTCAGTCATAAAAGTTTACATGAATGAAAGCTTGTTGTAAAAATATGTATATATAATATAGAAGATGCGATGAAAAAGGCTGCCTTCACATCTTAACCATTACCCATTGCACCTCCAAAAAGACAGGTTGTGCATTGCATAATTCCAAGGAGCACAATTCACACAGACTACGATATGAACAGCACAAGCAAACGGTGTGCATCCTAGCATCATATCTGCCTTCCCCTCTTTGTAGATACACATATAGATGGTCCCTGCTCCCTTATCAGCAACCAAATAAAAAGTATAGTATTTATTTAATATCTTTCTTTACAGCCTATTGTCTAGACACTTCCATTTTATATTCCTTCAGATAGAAGGATTTTATTCTGTAGTATCACACTATACATATTTCTCTGAAATTTGATTATTTTAATTTCATACAATTTCAACTTTGGGAAGCACCTGACAGACTGACCTAACTTTGTCTCCCTAAGCTAAAAGAGACTCTAAAACTAGGCACAGAAGCTTGTCATAGCACTAAAATGTTAGCCATTTATTTAAGTCATATATTCACTCTCTCCTAAAACATTATTCACCTTTTATTTATTTGCGATGAGTATGAGCTTACTTTGTGCCAGTGACAACTTGAGGGGCTTGGTTTACTGTAGCAGCTGTCATTTAATAGGGTCATTTGATTTCCTTTCCTAAATTTAGGAAGCAAGTTTAGCTCTTGGCATGCTTTTGATTAGCAAAGTTTTCCATGTTTAGCTACTTGCAAGAAGTATTCTTTCTCATATTGCATTATATGTCTCCACATACCCCCAGGAATCCATATTTAATGTGCCAGAATGTACGTAGCTTTCTTTTCCTTAGGTCAAGGAAAGAATCCTTCCCTGCCATCTCCATGGAGATGTTTCTCCTTTTCTCAACTGGCAGTTGTCTAATCTGTGCTCTGAGTTCCATCTTTTCATGTCTCATGAGGATTCTCACTTCAGTATTTATCTTCTCTGAGTCAGGGACCTTGGTCTTTCACTTGTCGATTGATTTGTGTGTGTGTGTGTGTGTGTGTGTGTGTGTGTGTGGTATTTTGTTTTCTTTATTTTTTTAACCTTATACATCTACAAGAGTGCAAGTAAAAATTTACCCATCTTTTATCTTATATTTGTTCTTCATTCATATGCCAAACCATGCAGGAACTGAACATAAGCAGATTTCTCTTTGTAGGCAGTAGGACTAAAATTTTGTTTAGAGTGAAAACAGGAAATCTAATCATGAGGCTGATAGCACAATTTGCCCCTGGATGCCCAAAGTCTTGGGGGTAAACGATATGTGTCTATTTACGAATTTGCAATGGTATACAACTAGTGTTTTAAAGGTAATATAAGAGATAGTGGTGGATGATATGCTTTAAACTAGATTACTTTCTGAAAAATATCATTATTACTTCTGTCATTAAAACATCTCTTTTGAAATAAATAAATAAATAAAGTGCTCTGGTTCAAAAAAAAATCTCTTTCAGGCTTCCCTGGTGTCACAGTGGTTAAGAATCCACCTGCCAATGCAGGGGACACGGGTTCTAGCCCTGGTCTGGGAAGATCCCACATGCCGCGAAGCAACTAAGCCCGTGTGCCGCAACTGCTGAGTCTGCGCTTTAGAGCCTGCGAGCCAAAACTACTGAAGCCTGCGCGCCTAGAGCACATGCTCCCCAACAAGAGAAGCCACCGCAATGAGAAGCCCGCGCACCGCAACGAAGAGTAGCCCCTGCTCGCTACAACTAGAGAAAGCCTGTGTGCAGCAACGAAGACCCAACACAGCCAAAAATAAATAAAAATTTTTAAAAAGCTTTCATAATCCAATGTACCATAATTATTAAAGTTGAATAAAGCTAAAGCTTCTATTCTCTCATTTTCCTTATAAACATATTCTCTAACAAATACCTAATACTTTTCCTATGAAATTAAACCATAAAATATTGCTGCATGCTTCTGTATGTCTGCATGCTTCTTACTTTTATAGAATCTTATTCTTAA